CGAAGCAGGGAGGGGTGACCAAGGCGGTGGTGCCAGAGGAGAGTCTCGTGCGACAGGAGGTGACACGAACAGGGGGCAGACTCAGGACCAGACCTGGACGCTGCAGCAAACACCTGACCCGACGCAGCTACCTGACCAGACGCAGTGATTGGAGGAGACGCAGTGGTCAGTGTGTACAGGCTCGACCCCGGCCGACGTGTAAACTTGGCCAGGTGTCGGCCTGTCCGAGCGTCCGTGCAGTGGGTCACCCGCTGACTCGCAGGAGTGAACTGGTGAACCCCCGCATCCTGTAGGTCAGCACCACTCACCAAGTTCGTAGAGAACGAGGGGAGGTAAAGACCAGACAGGGTGCCAGAGGGGGCCGCAGGACACGGGAGGACAGTGGAGAAGTGAGCAAGGACAGGACCCCCAGAGGGGTCTGCCAGAGAGACTGCAACTGGCCGGCCAAGCGGCGTGAGTGTGGTGCGGTCTTGAAAGAAGGAGCGAGAAGCCCCCGAGTCAAGGGTGAAGGTGTGGGAGGCCGAAGCCGACGCAGTACCTGAGAGAGCAAACTCACCAGCACCTGAGGGAGCAGACACACGAGCACCTAGAGCAGCAGCCTCGCTAGCACCTAGAGCAGCAGCCTCACCAGTACCTAGAGCAGCAGTCGCAATGCCCGGGTCGGGCGGAAAACACCGGTAACAGTCACCCTCATCACTAATAGTCACAGCATACATGGCAGCAAGGATAGCATCAAAGTCGAGGTCAAAGACAGCTACACCCGCCCTAGACAGCTCGCCCCAGCGGGGGATCTCAGTGGCCTCAGGGAACTGGTGACACCAAGCGTCCGTCAGGCGGCCAAAGCAGCGCTGGGTGGAGTGCGCACCCCCGCACTGCTCACCCGCGCGGTCGCCGGTGCGTAGGACGTAGGTGCACGGACCAGTACCCCCACCCCGCTGGCGTGCAGCGTACCACTCACGGAGCTGCTGAGGGGGGGGGATGTCACGAGTGCGCTGCTGCCGCTGCTGCTGCTGCTGCTGGCGCTGACCACCACCGGAGCCGACCCTCTGCGCAGCGCCACCCCGACCAGCTCCACCTCCTCCGCCGCCGCCTCCTCCACCGCCGCCACCTCCGCCACCTCCGCTCCCACCGCCACCGCCACCGCCGCCTCCGCCTCCACTGCCGCCACCGACACCTCCACCCCCGCCACCACTCCCACCACCACCCCCACCCCCTCCACTGCCTCCACCGCCACCTCCGCCACCCCCGCCAACCCCTCCAGCACCCTTGCCCCCCTTGCCCTTGCCGGTGCGGCGTCTCCCGCTCGGGGCAGACGCAGCGCCGACCGACTCGAAACCAACGAGGTCGGCCGCAGCAGCAGAGGCAACAGAGGGCAAAAGGGGGGAGGGGGAACACCCCTCAAAGACGGGGGTGCGAGGGTCACCACGAGAGGCTCCTACAGCGACTATGCTCTTCTCTGCTGCTAGGAGGGCCTTCTCGAGGAGGTCAACGGTGAGAGTGGTGGGGCAAACTGAGAGGAAGTGGTCCCTGACTACGCGAAGGGAGTCAGGGAGCCGGGTGACTATGTAGTAGAGGGTGATGTACATGGGGGGGGGGGTTCTTGGCGCAGAATTCAGCAGGAAGCGCAGCGCGGTAGCGAGTGTCACTAGTGCGGAGGTGCGTAATGAGGTCAGCGACTGTGGGAAAGGCAGCAAGGTCAGGGAAGAGGTACGGTAGCATGAGGCGGCTCAGTGCAGCAGTGGCAGGGGAGGAGTAGCGCGCAACTACAGCGTCGTACAAGGTGTGAGCACTCTTGTACTGGCTAAAGTGCGCACGCTCAGAGGTAGGCAGGTGGCGACGCACAGCAAGACGTGCAGCAGCATCGCGTGTGGCCCACTGTGAGCGAACAGTGGCGTCGGCATCAGCAGCAGGGGCAGGAGAGGCACCAGAGGTGAGGTCAAAGAGGGAGAGACCGTCTGCCCTATCGCACTGTAGGAAAAGCTGCAGGTCATCTACCCAGACGTCAAAGTCAATGGCCCGACCCTCAGCGTCAAAAGCGAGGACACTAGGGGTAGCCATGACAGCAGTAGACTAGTAGCGCGAACAGTAGAGTAAGGGCAGTGCAGTGACAGAGGCGCTGCTCTTACCGGACAGGGCGGCTCGGGCGGCTCGGCGGGTCGGCAACTCGGCGGCTCGGGCGGCTCGGCGGTACGGCGGCTCGGCAGCAACTGCGGCTCGGCGACTCGGCGACTCGGGCGGCTCGGGCGGCTCGGCGGTACGGCGGTGCGGCAGCAACTGCAGCTCGGCGGCTCGGCGACCCGGCGGCTCGGGCGGCTCAGGTGGCGCGGCGGCTCGGGCGGCTCGGCAGTAGCTCGGCGGCGCCGGCGGCTCGGTGGTGACGGCGGGGCCGCGTGGGGACGGCGGCGGGGTCGGGTGGAGCGGCGGCGAGGCCGGGTGGAGCGGCGTCGGGGCCGGGTGAGGCGGCGCCGGGGCCGGGAAGGGCAGCTCCGGGGCCGCAGGGGTAGGCGACGGGACCAGCAGAGGCGGCGCCGAGGCAGGGAAGGGCGGCGCCGGGGCCGCAGGGGTAGGCGACGGGGCCGCGAGGGCGGCTAGGAGGGGGGGGGTCGCGAGGGCGGCTTGAAGAGGCCGCGAGGGCGGCTAGAAAGGGCCGCAAGGGCGGCGCGACACGAAGGAGCCGCGAGGGCGGCGGATCGGGGCCGCGAGGGCGGCGCGACGCGGCCGCTAGGGCGGCGCGACGTGAAGGGGCCGCGAGGGCGACGCGACGGGGCCGCAAGCGCGACGCGACGGGGCCGCTCAGGCGGCGCGACAGGGTCGAGAGAGGGGAGCGCGACTCGGGCAGTGGAGAGCGCGCTCCGGGCAGGAAAAAAAAATGTGGTGGGCCCTAGGAACAGTTCCCACAGGGGAACCTGCTCGATACCATGAGAAACTGAACGAGAATGAATTGACTAAGGGAAAGTTGGGTACAAATGTAAACCCTAGAAAACTTTACCCCATATGTGCTACCCCACTATAGCCTACAGTAGCTATGTCATATAAATCTGACAGTTTTCTGTTCTCAGTTCTAGTTGTGAGGCTGAGATCTACGCAGGGGCCATGGCTGCACAGGAGTTACGCTGGCTCACCTACCTGCTGACTGACTTGGGAGAGCGGCCTCATTCTTCTCCAGTTTTGTACGTAGTCAACAAGGCCATGATTGCCTTGTGTCAGGAGCACAGACTGGAGCACAGAACGAAGCACAACGCTCTGCGTTACTTCCTTGCTCGAGAGTTGCAGCAGCGCGGTCAGCTTCGTCTAGCTTACGTGGCCAGTTAGGCCAACACTGCTGATATATTCACCAAGGCACTTCAGTCTGGTGATCATCAGCGTTTCGGTACTGTTTTAGGCCTTATGCCTACTTTGCCTCACTTGCTCACTGCGTGAATTTTCTTGTACTGTGATATATATATATATATATATATATATCTGCATGCTTATACTTGCTAGGGTATGATCACTGTACTGTTTGTTCTCTTTTATATAACTCTGCATGTGAACTGGCCTTGTTGCCATTTGCTTGTGCTCGGAATGTGTGGTGACGTCGTGATCCACCCAAAGGTTGCTTTGCTTTTCTTGACTGGGCTTGTGACCACTTGTTCTCCCCCACTTTGCCTATGGGGGTGTGTCAAAATGTTATAATGCTTACATTGTGTAGGCTGTAGTGGGGTAACCCATAAGGGGTACAACCCAATTAGGGTTAGTATTTGTACCAACTTTCTGTTCAATGCATTCATTCTCGTTCAGTATTCTGCCAGTTAGTACTTGTACCAACTTTCTGTTTCATTGCATTCATTCTCGCTCAGTATTCTAACACTTTTTGTTCAAATTGTGAAGATGAGGTGAAAAAGTGGGATGTTGCGTCGGCTTCGCAAATCAATAGCAGCCCTTGCCTTGTGTGTCAGCATTGTTCTTCAGTCTCTTCTCCTCCCGTCACTCGGCGCGCTCTCTCATTTCGCCAGTAGGCTGCAGCGCTGCCATGGGATTAACCTTTCTTATGCTCCGAGTTCGCCCCTGGTAATTATGCACTTCTATGTATCATGCATTTGCACTCGTCACTTGAATGTGAGCGGACTTCTCGCGACTAAGATTCAGTCGATGGCTGTTGCAAGAGTTCTGGCTGGCCCGTTGTCCAACACTGAAAAACCGACATCCCATTCGAGGAGGTCACCTCACCTTAGGGTACATTCCTGTGGGGACACTTGTGTCTCAATCCCCGTTTTCCCGAGTCGCGCCTGTTAATTTTCCCAATGTTGTGTCACAAACATCGAATGTACCGCGATGTAGGGCGACATATTGGCAGGTTCAGTTGGACACGTTTCACTGGCGGGGATCAAAAAGAGATGTACAGGTGTGTGCATTTGACTGGGTGACAGTACACCCGTATTTTCAACCTCCGAGCAGGGGCGTGGTTTCGATGCGCGGGATCTTTTCCCTCGCAAAATTGGCATTTTTGGATGTCCAGGTGCATGTGGTCGTGTCGGGCATTTCGAGTCGCGTGCGATTCTTTAACAATGACGGGTCGTTTCACAATTCGACAGCGATGTCAGCGCGATTCACGCTGACCAATAATAAATACAGTACAAGTCGCCGAAAGCCGATTCGCATTTGGGACACAACACAGTTTATGTTGTTTTTGGGTGTCACAAAGTGATTGAGACACAAGTGTCCCCACAGGAATGCACCTTTAGTTCATTTCACACTCACTTTGAATGAAGAGGTTCATTCTGGTTCGCAATGGTCTGGACCGGTGAATCGCATGGACATGACGAACGAGTCGCGCACGCAACTCAACGGTCAACAATTCTGGAGGGCCCCTCTCGCGTGGGGACTCTATTCACTCGCAAATCTTCACGGAAAATTTCATGGCAATGGAACTGTAGCTCCCAGTCTAAAACTCGTTTATTGTGTCTACAGTAAAAGCATAACATATTCCTAAGGTTAACAATGAAACCAATGAGGTTTCCTCATAATGTTCTAGCACTACTGGAGGCTTTCTCAGCCCTTACAGCCTTCCCAACTGGTGGAATCAAAACGCTCTGGTGCTCCTGCAGCAGCGCCTCTGCTCTCCGCTCCGCCCCGATGTTAATCAGCGCCCTGTGCACCTGCATCACCATCCCTTCATCCAGGTTCACACCCAGCTCTATCATACTGCCATACACCTGCGAGCATACATGCACACATGCAAAGAGCAGCGGAGGAGCATGAGAGCACCATTGGCAGAGGGCATTCCGTGGACCTGCATCACCATTACCCTCGTCCACATTCACACCCACCTCTATCATGCTGCCGTACACCTGCAAGCATGAATAGATGCAGCGATGAGCAAGGGAGATGGGGGCATGGGTTTCAGTGATCGTCTTGTGCACCTGGTTACATCACCAGTATATGCTCAGGCTTCGCTCGTGGCAACAGCATGCTGCCATACATACCTGCATGCACCGACCGCACAGGACAGTACATAGCAGCACAGAAACGCACAGCACCTGACAGAACCGCACAGAACTGCTATGAACCGCACTGAAACAGGCAGACGTACCTCGAGCACCTTGAGGGCCCGCCCCTGCTGCGTGTACAGGCTCATCACGTGTGCAAACGTGGCGCACATACCTACATGCATACGATCGCACAGAACCGTACCTCGAGCACTTTCAATGGCCGCCCCTGATCTGCATACAGGCTCATCACGCGTGCAAACGTGGCGCGAGGCACTGTGTCCAGGTGGCGGCCCATGATTCGCTCCCACGTGCCGTCCAGCTCAGCATGTCGCCCCGTGGCAGCCATGGCCTCCATCATGAGGTCATATGTCCCAAAGGTCCGCCCCTGGCCCCTTGCGAGCATCCACTTGCACACCTGGTGGGTGGGAGCATACGGGTTTAGGGGTGGGGTAGAGGGGTGCAGGAGAGGGGGAGAATCCCAGGTGAGTGTGCCGCCCCGTGGCAGCCACGGCCTCCACCATCAAATCATACGTGCCGAATGTTCGGCCCTGGCCCCTTGTGAGCATCCACGTGCACACCTGGTGGGGTATGACGGTATGGGGACAGAAAACGAGGGATCTCAGGCGAATGTGCCGCCCCGTGGTAACCATGGCCTCCATCACCCATACTCTCCATCACCCATACTGTCCATCACCCATACTCTCCATCACCCATACTCTCCATCACCCATACTCTCCAGCACCCATACTCTCCATGAACCATACCCTCCATTATCATCATGGCTGCACGGATCATACGTGCCGAACGTGTGCCCCTGAACCCACAAGAGGCAGCCAGCATTCACGTGCACATCTGGCAGGTAGCGGGCGGGTGAGGGGGGAAAAGAGATAGCAGCTCGCAGTTAGTAGTCTCCCCTTCTCCCTCCCTGCAGCAATGCCCCCCCTCACCTGCAGCATTCGCTTCCACTCTGTCGTTGCACCTGTCTGTGTTAACCTCTCCCTCCTCACCTGCAGTATCCTCTTCCACTCGCCTCCCTGCTGCATCATTCTCAATGCGCGTTTCACAGCCAGCAGGGGGAAGTCGAGCTGCAAGGCGGCCCATGCATCCAGAGCCCCACTGGTAATGTTACCATACCATCTACCTGTGCCACCCTCTCCTCCTCACCTGCAGTATTCTCTTCCACTGGCCCTCTTGCTGCGTTTGACGCACCCTGAGAGCGTTTGACGGCCCGCAGAGGGAAGTCGAGCTGGAAGGCGGCCCATGCGTCCAGAGCCCCACTAGTAGTGTTGCCATACCATCTATCTGTCCCACCCTCTCCCTCCTCACCTGCAGTATTCTCTTCCACTGGCCCTCTTGCTGGATGATTCTCAACGCGCGCTTCACGACCAGCAGGAGGAAGTCGAGCTGGAACGCCGCCCATGCGCCCAGCGCAAGTCGAGGGCACCCATGCGTGTAAATCGTATTTCCTCGCACACATTTGGAGCACTGGAGGTGAGAGTATAAACACTCTAAACAGTATCCTCTGTGCTACCCCCTCCCTCCTCACCTGCAGTATTCTCTTCCACTGGCCCTCCTGCTGCATCATCCTGAGAGCGCGCTTCACAGCCAGCAGAGGGAAGTTGAGCTGGAAGGCCAGTCATGCGTCCAGAGCGCATCCTGACACCCTGTTGTGCACCTACCAGTGCTGTGTTCTCCCCCCCTCACCTGCAGTATTCGCTTCCACTGGCCCTCTTGCTGCATCATCCTGAGAGCGCGCTTCACAGCCAGCAGAGGGAAGTCGAGCTGGAAGGCCGCCCATGCGTCGAGAGCTCGGTACACGTCCTCCTTGCTGTCTGGCACGTCACGGATCTGACAATAACGCGTATGGAAGGAAGATGCGCGTTTTGATGGCGGAGTAAGAAGAAAAGTCGGATGTGACAATAACGAGTGTGGAAGGGAGTTGGATGCGACAAGGTGAGTGAGTGAGGTTGAATGAGTGAGTGTGTGAGTGGGTGGAAGTGAGTGGTTACATGACTGATCAAGCGACCAAACCAATGAGTGAGAGAGTGAGTGAGGGAGCGAGGGAGGGAGAGAGTGAAGGTGGGAGGGAGGGCGCGTGTGCGTGTGCACACACTCACTCACAGCAGCAATGAGAGCATTGGCGCGCCTTTTGAGTCGAATCAAAAGCAGCGAAGGGGGGACGGAGGGCGTGTGTGCCCGTGCACACACACACACACACACACACACACACACACACACACACACACACACACTCACAGCAGCGATGAGAGCATTGGCGCGCCCTCCGATGTTCCGTGTGTCCTTCTTTTTCCATGAGCAGAACACGCGCTGCCATGGGTTGAGGGGAGGAGGGAGGGGGGCGGGGTTGGGGTTGGGACGGGGAGAGAGAAGTGAGTCGGTTGGGGAGAAGGGCTGCTTCCCCCTCCATTGTTCTGCGTGTCCTTCTTGCGCCATGAGCGCAACGCACAATGCCATGGGGGAAGGGGAGAGAATGGGGGAGAGGGGGAAAGGGGAGGGGTGGGGAAAAGAGTTGCCTTTCCTCCAATGTCCGCATGTCTTCTTTCTGCCATGAGCAGAAAACTCTGCTGCCATGGGTTGGGGGGCGAGGATTGAGATGGGGAAAGGGGGGAGGAGTGGGGGGAAGCGCGCATCCACGATAGAATGCTAGCCAGGCCGACTTTCGAGGATGTGTGAGCAGAAGGAAGCGACTCGATCAGCAGGAAGCGACTCGATCAGCAGAACGCAACGCGTAGTACCAGCGGCTGTCGCGGCGGCGCGGTAGCGGATTCCCGCTGGCGGGGCGCCGCGAATCGCCCGACTCGCGGAACGAGCGGGTTGCAGAACCGTAGCCCCGAGGACAACGACGTGGCTGTAGCGGGGGTGACCAGAGCGGGCGACGTGACTGTAGAGGGTGTGACGTAAGCGCGCGAAGTGACTGTAGCGGAGGCTAGAGCGCGCGAAGTGACTGTAGCGGAGGCTAGAGCGCGCGACGTGGCTTGGAGTCGAACAACCGCCCTGGAAGCGGTTAGGCGGAGCATTGGTGGAAGAGACGCGCGGGAGGAATGGAGTCCAGGAAAAGTAGTGAGGTTGGGAGAGGGACTAAGAGAACTAGAGAGTCGAGAATGGTCTAAAGTCGTGACGAGATGACACCACGCCGACGTTCAAATGAGGTTTCACAAACCGTGCGCTGAGGTAGAATAATAGTGGCCTCTTGAGTTGGCTCAAACGAGGAGCACAGCGGAGCTGACTACGATGCGGGAGCTTCGGTCAAAAAACATGTATTGCTGGCTTGGCCTATCGTCTGGTAGACGAAGGTACGACAGAACCAGTGCTGTGGAGGTGAGGGGTATCGATCACCTTACCCATCGCATGCGAAGCGATCGCTCTACCATGTGAGCTACACCCCATATTTATCGGGGTAATTAATTATTATAATATAATAAATCTAGCTCAGGCGCCCCCTTCTTCAAAATACGGCGATTGTCCACAATGGATGTGAGCGAGGCGTTCGAGATCCAGCAGACAGCAAGTTACATCGTGACACGTGGCTTCTCGCGCGTGTGCCTTCAGTTCCCCGACTCGCTCCTCCCGCACGCCGTCTCCGTCCACGACGCGTTAAGAGCCGAATGCGCCGCGCTCATTAGCAGCGAGCATCATGGTGCTTATAACGGGGACAGTGAGACCGAGCCGTTACCTGAAGCTCCACCTGTCACCAACCCAGAGGCTAATGTCGATTCACGTCAAGAAATTGCGTCCCTGAGAACTAGCGATCTGCCTGGGAGCAATCAGCGTGGGAAAAAAAGCATGGGTCTGGGTTTCCGGGTTTTACGGAGGGTCAAGGAGGGAAGGAGTCAGAGGAGGCAGGTGTAGCTGAATCGGAAGCGCATTTGCGGCCGCCGCAATTTACGGCGAGGCACTCGGCGGGACATGCGGCGGATCCTCCGCATCGGGACGTGCCGCATTTCTACGTTTTGGCTGACGCGGCAACCGCCACGTGCAGCAGCTGCTGCGTGGATGAGGTGTCGCCGTGCCACGTCAGCGCTGAGTGTATCGTTCACTACGGCCACGCGTGCATGTCGCGCCGCCCGGCGCGGTTCCCCGTGCGGTACGTACTTCCACGTCAGCCCATCGACGTGGCGGCGTGTGCTGCGGCAATAAAAGCACACTTCAAGAGCAGTAGCGGCAGCAGCAGCGGCACCACCACCACCAATATCAGCACCCCCGCAAGTACCGGCGCCGATACGAGCGGAGATTCCTCCCCGCGCACGCTTCCCCGCGTGGTGCTGGTGCTGTTCGCGCTCGAGTTCGCGCACGCCGCGGACGAATTTGTGCTCGCTCTTGGGGGGAGCGGCAGAGCGGAAGCGGCGGAGGCAGAGAGGGAGGGGGACGGGGAGGGGGAAGAAGCGTGGTATGTGGTGGCGCAGGTGCGGGAGAGGGAGGTGGAACCGGAGGAAGGGGGAAAGAGTGGAGGTGCTGACACTTGTGGCGCCGTAAATGGCGGGTGCTGTAACGGCGGTGCCAGAGGGGAGACTGACAGAAGCGCGTGCTGTGGGGGAGCAACAGGCAGGGGCACGTGTGGAAGTATCTCTTGTTCTGGTGAACATATCTCTTCCAATGCTGCTGCTGCTGCTGCTGCTGCTGCTGCTGCTGCTGCCGCTTCAGCTGATGGTGGTGGTACTGCAGCTTCGGTAGCTGCCACTACCCATTCTTCTGCCGCCCAGTGTGCCGCCCAGTGTGCCGCCCCTGGCACTCTTTTCGAACACGGCGGCCTGCGGTGGATGCTGCCGCCCAGGTCGAGCATGGCTGCAGAAGTTGCCAAAAGCAGCAACCCACACAGCAATGAGGAACCATCAGCAGCAGCAGCAGCAGCAGCACCGGCAACAGTGGGGGTGAGAGCAGTGGTGTGGGTGGGCAGCAGCGACGAATGCCCATCTCTCATAACCCTCGCTCTGGAGCACAACCAGACACCCATCCTCAGACTCGACCCCACCCACCTACCCGCTGCTGCTCCTGTCCCTGAAGCTGCTGCTGCTGCTGCTGCTGCTACTACTGACAGCAGCAGCAGCAACATCACCCCTCTCTTCCATCCAGTTGACCACTCCCGCTTGCTGCGCCGCCGCTACTTCCTCGTGGAAAAAACCAAGGACGCGTCTATAATCGGCATCGTCGTGATCTCCCAATCCGCCGGCGCTGCCGCCGCCTCCACCCGCGCGACTGTCGCCGCCATTCGATCCGCAGCGGTGGCCGCGGGGAAGAAGGCGTACGTGATTGCGATCAGGCGGCGGATCACGCCCGAAAAGCTCGCAAATTTCCCCGAGTGTGACGTGCTGGTGCTCGTGGCGTGTGCGGAGGGCGTGCTGCTGGATGGCATGGGGCAGGGCAGCAGTGGGAGTGGCGGCGGTGGCAGTGGCAGTGGAAGCAGGGCGTTTTACGCGCCGGTGGTGACGCCGTTTGAGGCGCTGATGGCTCTGGAAGAAGGGCGGGAGTGGACGGGAGAGTATCGGATGCTGCTGGATGGTGCTGGGGTGGGAGCAGGAGGAGGAGGAAGAGGAGGAGATGTGAGGAAGGGAGAGGTAGGGTCAGGGGAAGAAGGGGATGGGGAAGGTGGAGAGGATGCGGCTCCACGGTTCTCCTTTGTGAAAGGATCGCTGGTATCCCCCGCCCCTCACAAACCATCGTCTGCAGCACCATCAGCAACAACAACAGCAGCAGTATCGAATCAATCAGCTTTGGCCGTCCGGCAGGACATGGCTCTTTCTGCTCTGCCCGTTTCATCCGACTCCTTGGCCCTGGCTCAGGCATCCGGCCAATCAGGGTATGCCACGTCAGCGGCAGTGGAGGCGCGATCAGGATCGGAGTTCCTAGCACTGCGGCGTGACTATAAGGGGCTGGAGGTGCCCTGGTTCATGGCGCCTGGTGAGGCGCCTGGTGGGACGCCCAGGGAAGGGGGAGGGGATGCAAGAGGGGGAGGGAATGAGGGAGGAAGGGAGGATGGGGGAGCGGTGGGTGCTTTCATGCCGAATGTGGCTCCGGCTATTGATGCAGTGAGGGTGGTGGAGGGGCGGGAGGGGCGAGCAGCAATGTATGTGGATGAGCCACAGCGGGGATAAGGGAGGGTGATAGTAGTGTTGGTGTGTGTGACTATAAGGGGCTGGAGATGTCCTGGTTCATGGCGCCTGGTGAGACGCCAGGGGAAGGGGGAGCAGGAAGAGGTTGAAGGAGAAGAAGGAAGAGGGTAGGGCACTGAGTGGTCAGGGAATGGCCAATGGGTGGGGGGGAAGGGGGAGGGGTTGGTGAAGCTGTGGGGGTGCTTTCGTGTCGAAAGTGGCTCTGGCGATTGAGGTGGTGAGGGTGGTGGAGGAGGGGAGGGAGGGCCGTGCTGCAGGGTGTGGGGATGAGCAGCAGCAGGGATAAGGGAGGATGGTTGCCCTGGCTGTCGGTTGTCGGTTGCCAGTTGGTAGGAGGGGCGATTGTCGGTGCTTGCCCTGGGAAGGCCGGGCAGGGGCGGGTGAAGGTGAAGCAGGGGGCGGGGGAGTAATGAGGGGTCTTGTTTAATGTTAGACAAAGTGAAAACTTTTAATCATATACCTGCAGTTTCAGAAACGTCATTCACCTGTGTACAATAAAGTGCAGTTGATTCAGGTACCGTATGAGTGACATGACATATATGAGATCATGGCGCTCTTTTTAACACACACCCTTGTACCGTCAGCCCCCGGATAGAAGCGCCCCTGGGGGGTATAAAAACACACTGTTTTTTAGGGGGTGCGCTTATAATCGAGGAATTTTATAAGCGCCGGCGTTTATAAAATGGCAAAAATAATTTCTATCTGTTTTACACCAAACTGTAGATCTCGTTCAGCCGATTGTAATCGAGTCGAAAACATATAGGGTCCCGAATATGATTCTCGCACAGCTTGGCAGGAAGTGATTCCCTGCCAACTCAAACTAACAGAATGACAGCACATGCTGACTAGACGCGCAAAAAGTGAGATCAGAGTGTGGGAAATCAAATTTGTAGTTCGTTTCCCTGATAATGTGAAATTTGTTTCTGTATTTCATCAGGTTTTCAAATGAAAAACCAACATGGGCTTATAATCGAGGACCGGATATAAGCGCCGTCATCCTTTTATAAGCGCCGGCGCTTATCCGAGGCCTGCGCTTCTATCCGGGGGCTTACGGTATCGAAATCGTTCAGCCTCTCCCTCGATCTTGCCGCGTCTGTTCTGCTCCTTTCCCGTCGCGTCCTCCTGCCCTCCGCTCCCCGCACCCCAGCCAGGGCCTCAGATATCAGGAAAAAAACCCTGAAATTCCTGATTTTGGCAGTCCATTCTCAACCTACCCTGAAAAACCAGTGTTAAGATTTTTGTGGGACTGATCTTTCAGCCTTTTTTGTGAGGCCACACTGAAATTTCAGTTTTTTTTTTCCAAGTACACTGATGCCACAACGTTGAAACGAAACTAACACTGAAAGCGATTCTTACCTGTGTCGTGTGGATTTGACCGCAATTACAGGAAATCTCAGATTCCTGTGGTGTAGGCACCGCGGGGCGAGACGAACCAGTGAAATTTTGCCTCAAATTCACGATTGAGAGGTGCTTTGTTGGCGCGGCGCCACACATCATTGGGCCGTTTTGCTGCAGCATCTTTTCTTGGCCAATCCGAACGTGGCCAGTGGCCACCATGTGGTGCTGGAGGGCTGCCAACGTTCCTGCCCCGTTGACAACCCAGCCCATGCACCGTGGTTGCCATCCAAGGGCCCCTTCTTCTCCAAGCTTTGCATCCGAAGCTGGGTTTCCCCCTTTCTTCCTAGTGTACCACCAAGAGGCAGCCAGCCGTGGCTTGTGATTTTTCTGGAAACAATCCCTCTCGTTGTCGCTAGCTTAGATGTGAGGCCGTCCCCGCTGCTTACCATGGTGGAACACCTTGACGGCACGGAAACAAACGACGAACGCGGCGGTCAGGCGCATCGCCAGCCGCCTGTAGTCCGTTCTGAAGCAGTTACGGGCCTCGATTTATTGTTTTCGAGCATAGCGGAAGTCAACGACAACGAGAAGCCACCAGATCCCGAGCCGCCCGACAAAATCCCGTTCGAACACATCGATGAGGAGGGTTGGTGTGTATCCCCGACAGCGCCAGTCACGGAGCAGGACAGCTCGCCGCCTCCAGCTGAAAAACTGGCTCCCGAACCCGTGACCAAGAAATCCAGCCGATACATGCAGCCAACGCTGCCATGGTTTACAAAGGGCGCTGACGACGGAGCTACCCCGCCTTCGCCAACCGACCAACGGTCGTCGCTCGTGATTGCCGGCCCACAGGAGTCGCCATCGGTTCCTGGTCCTTCTAAGAAGTCAGGACGCGACGCGATTTACGCTGAGTCTCTGTATAAGTACAAGACCGAGTGGCTAGACAGGTTTCCATGGCTCATTCTTTTGCGGCAATCTGACGGTCTCCCAGCTTTCAAGTGCTCTATCTGTACCGAGCATGCAGGTTACTCTGGAAAGTGTGGGAAGGGCGGGAGGGGTGCGTCGGACGTACAGACGCAGGCTTTCAAGAGACATGCTGCAACAACGAAGCACAAAGAGGTGGTCAAGCACCAGGAAAAGCTTCTTGCTGAAGCTGGCCGGCAGCCACGGATCAATGGTGACAACCTCGCTCGCGACACCAAGAAGGAACGCGTCATCGCGCTGTGCGACTCTCTGCTCTTCGTAACCAAGCAAGATGCACCCATTGAGTTATGGATGAATCTTGTTCGCTATCTCGCGGCGAAGAAGGTTCCAGGATTCCCCGCGAAGGGATACGGAACCTATTACACAACGTGAGTACCCGCTGTCAGATATTGTTCGTGATGTTGCTTTTGTTTACCTTTTGTGTAAGCACTAATATTGGCTCACATGCTCCACAGGTACGGCTTTGGGCAACTAACACAAGCGATTGCCACGTGGTTGCACACAACGCAACTCCAGCACCTCCTTACAAGTCCTTACATCAGAATTACATGTGACGAGAGCACGTACAGGTGCCGGGGAAAGCACATGATCATATTCGCGACCTTCATCCAGGAGAATCGCGTCGTCACCGAGTTCCTTGCCCTTCTGACCGTGGAGAAGTGCGACGCCGCCTCTCTACTCTACGTGTTTGTGTCCCACCTGCAGGCCCTCGGCATCGAGCTTGCCAAGATCGCTGGTATGAGCACCGATGGCGCGAGTGTGATGATGGGAAGCAAGAATGGTCTTGTCGCTCGACTGTGCCTCCGCATACCGCATCTTGTCTCGAGCCACTGCATAGCCCACAGGTACGTTCGCTTTTGTACTAGCGCCAATCCTGATTATCCGTATCTCGGCCTTGCTGATACTCCGTGTTGCATGTTTGTGTTGTGATGTGCCTGCAGGGAGGCCCTCGCGGCAAAAGATGCAGCGGATGCAATCCCCGAGTTCGACATGGTGGACGGGCTGATCCGTCAAGTCGCAGAGTATCTCGGCCGTTCCAGCCCCTGGCACCAACGATTTTTGGAGCTGCAGGAACTCTTCACGGCTACGAATCTGGAGCTTCAAGGCATTCATCAAGTTCGCTGGCTCTCCAGGGGTGATGCCGTTCTGCGAACGGTGACGGTCTTCCCTGGGACGAAACTCTGTATCAGCTCGCCACCAGCTACAGGTTCCATTTCTTGTTGTTCTTTCTTGCAGACGTGCTCGAGCAGCTGAACATCTTGAACAAGTCCTTCCAACAGCGAGAGGTGAGCAACAAGTCCTTTCAACGTGTGCTGCACTTCTCATGATGTCTAGTTCTTGTATGCGTGACTTCTTTGCGTGTATGTCAATGCATTTATATTGTGGGAGCTTAAGCATAACACATATTGTTTGATAAATCACCCCCCCGGCTCGCTTTCCTTGTGTCCCTCTGTGTTATTTCTGTCGACCTCTCATAGCTTGACATCGCAGGTGTCCATGCGCAGATCAGGAGAACCATGTCTCACCTGGAGACCCGCTACGTCGACTGCGGCGACGATTTTGGAGGCGGGTTGAGTGCGCGCCTGTCCCCGTTCATCTTGAAGTACGGGCCTGACAGTGACAAGCCCGAGGTGACGGTGCAGGGTGTGGACTCTGACGGTCGGCCGACTACACACAAGTTCCAACTGCATGAGAACCCAAGCGAGGACTACCCAACTCTGGGAACACACGACGCCTGCGTCGATCTCTGCACATCATTTGCCGAGACGCTCGTCAGTAACCTCAGGAAGAGGTTTGAAGACTTGGACAACCTGGTGGGAGTGAGGCTCTTCATGCCAGACGAGTACCCGCCTGGGAGAGCGGTGCGCCACAAACAGTGTGTCGAGTGGCTCATGTCACTCGTCTTGCTGTTCAGGGCACAGGAAACTGACCACATCCTTCCAGGTACTCGCATTTTGTGCACCCTTGTTGTCCATGATTCTCTTTGTTCCTATGTTTCAACAGTGCCATGCATACACGGTATACCATGCCAAGCCATCCAATCTAACTGACAATCTCCCTTATGTTTTGTGTGGCAGGGATCGACAAACTGCGGGCGATGAAAGAACTGCGTGCCTTCTGCCCCATCCTCGCAGGTGCCCCGAATAACGAGCGAAGCTTCCATGCCGGGCTAACAGCGATGCTGAAGATAGGCGATTGGACGACTAGCTACCCCAACCTCGTGCGTCTCTGGGTGGCTGTCGCAGTGCTGCCGCTGAGCACAGTGGAATGTGAGCGCGGGTTTTCCCGCCAGAATATCATCAAATCGTGGCAGCGTGGGAGCCTCAAAGACGCTCGGCTTGAAGATCTCGTCACGATGTCGCTCCTCGACTACGAGCCTGACTACAACGAACTGGTGAAAATCTAGTGCAGCTACAAGAAGCGCCGGCCATTTGGCAATGTGGCAGCACCTCCAGCAAGAGAGGGGGAGGGAAGTGGCAGGGGAAAGGAGGCACTTGAGGAGTGGGAAGAACCAAAGGCGCAGGGGAGTGATGATGAGTCTGATTCCAATGCTGATACATGCATGACTCCTATTAGATAAGAGTAGCTGCTATTTTCTAGGAAGCTACTATACTCCTGAATTTTAAATCAAGACTTTATAAGGGTTTCAGCTTTTTTAC